ACAAACCGCTACGTCACTGATGGCACTTGGCATGTTGCAGTGCTGGGATCAATGCAGGCTCCTGGCTGCGATGTGCGTCAGGTATGTGGCTCTGATAGATGCTTTTTGTCTTGGAGGCTAGAACAGGAGAGAGCTGCACAGGCTTCCCCTTTGTCTGCCAGCAGGCCTAGGGACTGAAGAGGGGGATGGTTTTCATATTCTATTTGCCTTTTGAGCTCTGAGTAGTGTTACGTTTAGGAAATGAGGTTTGTAGGGAGTGTGCATGTTCCATGGTAAGTATTGTATGAGAACAACATCCTGGGGTAGCATATTTGTGCAGGGATGTTGCAGCAAATCGTGGCTGTTGATTTCCCAGCAGTGAATTCAGCTGAGAGGAGGTAGGATGAATGGCTTTGAGCAGTGCTGAAGCTGCTCCTGTAACGTCAAGCTGTGTGTGTACGTGTGGGATTTGTTTCCTTGCAGCTACAATGCTCAGACACTGTTTGGGTTTGGGGCTGTGGGTGTGGCTTTTGGAGCAGGTATTTGGGAAACTGCTTTTGTGAAGCCTGAAAAATAACCTTTCAGTTGTACTGTGTACAAATTTTAACCAAATCAGGATCAGAACCAGAGGAAATGTAACAGAGCTGTAGATCATGCAAGTGTTTTGTTTTGAAAATGATGGAATATAACATTTACTGCTTGCATCCGTGGCAGTGTTCAAGGCCAGGTTGGATGGGGCTTGGAGCAACCTGTACTAGTGGAAGGTGTCCCTGCCTATGGCAGGGGTTGGAACTGGATTCTATGAGCATCGGTTGGGTTTTGCTGGTCTCATGTGATGGGAACCAGAAGAGAAGGTGACACAGATTTTCTCAAGCAGAGTCTGTAGGTTCATGATTCTCAGTCCTTATGATGGCTTCTTTGGACCCGATGGAATGGTGGGTTTGTGGTGGCCTCCCTGCAGAGGTGAAGGGAAGTGGGAGCCTGGAGAACCGGGGAGAGCAGAGTGTCATGGCTCCATCTGTGCCTGCTGGGTGTGGGAGCAGGGTCTGCAGCACCCCTGGGTGAGTGCTGTGGCCAGAGGCCCCTCAAGGTGGAGCCAGTGCTGATTTTTCTTGCATACTGCTGTTTTAAAAGGAGTTAAATGGGAAAGTTGGGTAGTTTGAGCAGTTCTTCAAGTAGAAACAAAGGCGGAGAGGTGAGAGAGCCATTTAGTTATTAGGTAGATATATAACGTTGGGGTTTTCTGTTTCTTCTTTCCCTGTGTCTTGTCTCTGGTGATTTCTCTCCCCTCTCACTACCACAGTGTGTCGCTGTCCCCTTTACCCTTCTGCTGACAAAGCTTGAGGAAACTGGATCTGCGGAGGGTTGTTTTGCTTACACTTTATCGGGCACATGCTGGTCGTTGCTGATTTTGTCTGCTGTCCTTAGCTCCCTGTCCCCTGTAGTGACCTTACCTTGCCCTCAGGGTTCCATGCTGTCATCATGTGAATGTGACACTTTTCCTCCTTGTTCCTTTTTTTAAGCGATCCTCTCCTGGGTGATGCACACATGTTCCAAGAGTGTGTGCTATGGAATAAAAGCTGTGCTGCCTGCAGATGGCCCTCCACTGGAACAGAGAAATGTGGCCCGGTTGCTGTGTCTAGTTCCAGGCCAGGTTTGCTCCTCGCTGTACTGCTATAGTCATCGTCCTTATCCTGGCCCTACCCCCAAACTTGTAGTTTATGTATTCACATGGGCTCAGTGCTGAGCAAACTTTATTCCTTTCTCCAATGATGTTATTGAACCTTGGAACCCTTTATTTTGATAGCACTTGGAGGAATCTCGTTTCCATTTTAGAGGTGGAGACACAGAGGCACAGAAGCTGTGACTTGTCCGGGTCTCCCAGCTTCCAAGCTGGTGCCCAGTGTGTTCTGTTGTCTCTTGGCTGGATCACTACTGTGCCCTGTGTACCTGTGCAAACTGTGCCTCTGACTTTCTTCTTGGCACCTCTGGAATTGCTTTCCTTGCCACCTCCCCACCCCTCCTGGAAATGCGCTATTAAATCCTACGTGTGGCTTGAATTCTTTGGGCAGACCAGCCCCTGTGCTGCTCCTTTGCTGTCTGCAGTGAGGTGCCTGCTCCCATCTAGGCATGTCGGTTTCTCTGGATGCTGAGGGAGCACATGGGGACAGCCCTGCCGTCTCCACTTCCTTGCATGACCTCTGCTGTGGGGAGCAGGAGCTGGGGCTCACCGCTGCCTGCGGGAGCCGCCGCACATCACCCGGGCTGCAGCAGCGGTGCTGGGCGTTAAGCCTGGTTGCGTAACCTGTAGCTCATTTTCTCTCTTTCCTGATTAGCTGCTTTCCTCTGAATGCAGAAGGGGGAAGCTGCTCCCTGCACTGTGCGTGCTGCGTCACAGGAGAGCGGCTCACACACAGAGAGGGGTGGTGGAAAGCAAGGGACAAAGGTTAAAAGAGCGAAGCAATCTGGGAAGCGCCGCGGCTTGAAGGAGAACTGCACCGAGTGCAAGAGGCTGTTTGCAGCTTTCTCCTGCAGGGGTTTGAGCTGCAGGGCTCTCAGAATCAAATAGCAGCAGCAGCACTAGAGGAGTCGTAAGCGAGTCTCAGATCTGTTCATTCCCTCACTGAGACAGCATGGAGGATTCTGCAGAGCAGAGTCAGGAGATGAGGTATCACATGCTGCAAAGGTAAGAGTTACGGATGTGAGTGTCTCCTCGGTGCAGCATAAGGATACACAAAAAGTGGGAATGCCACTCCAGACTGGGAATGCATACTGCTGTTTTTCCATGTTCATTTCATCCTTTGAAACCTTGCCAGTTACCTTGAGGTATCTGTGCATGCAGTCTCCAAGCAGGATGCTAGAATACGTTTTAGTGGGGGAATCAGTGTTAAAAGAGTTGGAGATTCTGCATGACTTCCTGCTCTGTCAGCTCTGAAGGATAGATGGGTCTTTTGGAAGGTCTTGCCTAACAAAACACAGCATCTGTGAGCTGGTGATTAGGAGGGATGGCTCAACTCAGCATTTATTCTGTTTTGTTTAGAGCTCAGTGTTCTTTTTGCTGCGCTGCCCAACTTCTGCCTCATCTTACCCTGCAGAAAAAGAATCGCCTCTCCTGTTTTGACACAATGTGCAGCCAGTGGTTATTGGTAAATACAGCTAATGTTCTTGATATGTTTGCTGCCACAAACGAAACTGAACTCTACTTGCTCATGGACAAGTGCTTGTGCATTATTTTGGATGACGAACCTCTGGTTCTTTTGACATTTGAGCTGGAGCAGTATCTTTGTGTGTATAGTAGAAATTACTACAGGCAGGATGGTTCCTATTCATGTGTGTTCACACATTCTGACCCCAGGATGTTGATCTCTTATTCCTGTTTTTGGTGTGACTGCCCTCAATAAATCTGCAGTGAATAAACCTTTCTCACTGGACTGTGCTCCTTGACATAGAGTCTGACCCTCTTTAAACACACAAATTTAGTAGAAATTCAACCTTAACTGCACCTTTCCTCTTTTTCTTGCCTGTTAGCTCCTCTCCTTGAATTCCTGAGCTTATTACAGCAGTCTGTGAACTCTTGCTGATAGCGACAAGTTTTAAGTTCATTGATGGTGTTTATCTCTGAAAGTGCAGTTAAGAAGAAGGGAAAGTAACACAGGGGAGAAGCTTTGCGCACCTCACTTGGTCTGTGCCTTTCTCTTTGTATCAGCCTAGCAGGTTACTGGACTGGGTGTGCAGCCAGTTGAATATCCCAGGCTCGCATCTGTTTTTGTAGCGTGCTTTAAAATCACCCCACTGATCTTGTTTCCCTGTTACCTTCTCCACTCTTGGCTTCAGGGATCGCTTCAAGGCCGCTTTCACTCTGCATAAAACAGGTTTTCACTTATACCAAGACTCAACTTGAAGTCGGGCATGGCCGTTTGTCATGGGAGAGAAAGACTGATGTGTCTGAGCTTCAAGGGCTGCTTTCTTGTTGTTCTGGAAAACCTTAAAAACAAAATCAGGGTTTGCCACAGTAGAAGGGAGGAACCTGCTTCGTCCTGTATGGGATAGATTGGCATGTCTTTATGGTCAGATCTGAGCATTCATCTTGCCTTACCTGAAAATGGCACCTTTCCTTCTCATACAGTTCATGGTTGGTTATACCAGATTTGGCACATAGCTTTTTGAGTAGGTTGTTCTAGATGACATGGGTCCAGATCTTCCTTGTTAATGCAAGGTGTAGGCTGTTTTAGCACTGTGATTGCTCAGAGGAAACATGCGTAAGAGAAGAATCTGGAGTTAACCGGACATTTGCTACTGTTTGACCAAGGCTTCTTTCATCAGCAGATTTCTCAGTCAAAACACACGTTACTGCTGCAGAGTTAAGGAGGGTCTGCATTCCAGATGGGTAAATCTTCATAGGCTGTAACGTATTTATGGGGAAAAGTGAGGGGCACTCTGCCTGTTTCCTCTTAGGCTGTCACAAAACACCTGTAACAGCAGCTCATTGCAGCTGGGTTGCTCCAAACCTCATGTGGGGCAGTGATCCCCACAGTTACAGCTCTCAGCTACCTGACCTCGGTGGCTGTGCTTATGAAGGGAGATCTCTAGATGCTGCATGTGTCCTTGTTTGGTTTTTGCATCATGCCCTCCTTGTGGTGTTGCTCAATGGTAGCAGCTCTCCAGCAGCTGATCAGGGCAGAGGTTCCTGATGGGTTTCCCGTGGCCCAGGGGCAGCCAGCAGTGCCTGCCTGGCTCCTGGGGACTGATGCTGCAGTGGCACCACTCCTCTAATAGCGCTGACCCCCTTGGTTGCTGTTGGGTCTTCCCAAAGCACTGAGTTGTTTAAATACCTTCGCACTGTTCATCCCTCCTTCCTAACCAGTCATCCCTGTAAAAGCTGAGGACCAGGTCCTGGTGGCCTGGAGGCAAGGAGTGATCTGCTTCTCTGCCTGGGGAATATGGTCAGGGGGAACTTTACAATGATCTGTGTACATCTGCGCTGCCAAGTTGCCTTTTTCTGTCTCCCACAATTTCCCTAGGCCCAGCATGTCTGGTTTACACCTTGTGAAGCAAGGCCGGGACAGGAAGAAAGTTGATGTGCAGCGGGATTTCACTGTGGCTTCTCCAGCAGAATTTGTTACTCGGTTCGGAGGGAATAAGGTTATTGAAAAGGTAAATTATTGACCTCTTTAGCACATTGCGTTGTGTTCCCTTCCCTTGAGCTAGGGTGTCTCTCAAGAAGGTATCACCAATGGACAGCCAAGCTTAATATTCCTGAACTTGAAAGTTGTGCTTGTGCCTGTAACCTTTGTGTTCCCATTTCATTTTCTGTGTGATGAATAAACATCCCATTGTTTTAGCTTAGTGTGACGGGGGAAAAATTGAGTGAGGGGTTGAGCATTTCTGCAGCTACAGAAGGATTTATGGAGAGCTGTAACAAAAGTAGACTGGAAAAACACTGACGAATGTATTTAGAAATATCATTTAATGGATGAGGTCTCTTCTTATCAGGTATTGGAAGTTTTAGGTACATGTTAGACCTATTTTCCTGTGTCCTTCTGCTCTTTAATCCAAATGAGACATAATACATTAAAGTCTTTAAGGTCAAGCAAGAACCCCTTTCTAACTTGACTGATGGGTCATTAAATGTTCTTGCTGAATTGAATGCTGCCCAAGGAAACTGCACAGCCCCAGAACTGGACCCAGAGTCTGCAGAGAACCGTTTTCATTATCATTTGGTGGTGTTTAGACTCTGTTTCATCCCTGCTTCTAACGTGCTCAGGTGCTGATAGCAAATAATGGCATTGCAGCGGTGAAGTGCATGAGGTCCATCCGCCGGTGGTCCTACGAGATGTTTCGAAATGAGCGGGCCATCAGATTTGTTGTTATGGTGACTCCTGAGGATCTGAAAGCAAACGCAGGTGAGTTCTGAAGACCACTGAAGGTGCAGCACCCTCTCCTAGCACAGACCTCTGTGCCCCCAAGAAGTTCAGTGTTTGTCCGTGCATCACATCCCATTCTGGCAAGTAACTGATCCTTCTGGGAGGAGGTGGAGTACTTCCATCCGTTCCATTTAGGGAATTTTAGAACAAGTCCCGTTTATTAGATTTGCAACCTAAAAGAGCCCTTCTTTGTGTTTGCAGAGTATATTAAAATGGCAGATCACTACGTCCCAGTTCCAGGAGGACCAAACAATAACAACTATGCAAATGTGGAACTCATTCTTGATATTGCGAAGCGGATTCCAGTGCAGGTGAGAAGGGTCAAAAGTACTTCTCAAAACAGGAGCTAACATACTAAGCAGTCTTCTCTCTGGGGAGAAAGGTCAAAGAAATTGAAATCACAGGTCTATGCTAGCACCAAAGGGCACAATGCTTGTTACAGTGCAGTGGATTTCCCAGCATGAATACCTGCAGGAGGTGGAAGGTTCCCTTCAGCCCTTTGCTTCCTTGCACTTAGTTGCTCTTCGACAGCTTCCTGCAGCAGCCTTCTTTGACTTGTCTACAAGATGCAAGGCAGTAGCCCTTTAAACTGAACTTACCGTGTAGTTCAGGGGACTGGTTTGGCTTCTGAATGTTATGAGGTTGTTTCCAGTGGGGAAAAGAAAGATGTTAAGTATCTGCATGCTTCCTGTTTCCACTTGTTCTTCTAAAACAAAGAGTAAATTATGCTATTTTCTTCTGCAGGCTGTGTGGGCTGGCTGGGGACATGCATCTGAGAACCCTAAACTACCAGAGCTTCTCCACAAAAATGGGATTGCTTTCATGGGTGAGGATATACTCTTCTGATCTAATGTCTGGTCCCTATTTTAAGACGGAGAAGTTTAGGGGGAGAAAATCCTGAGTCTAAAAGAGAGCCATGACGGATGGTTTACAAGTGCAAGGTGAATGATACGTTCTTTACAGTAGTCAGAGCAACACACTGTGCTGTCTAATGGTGTACTCTGTTACCAGTCACTGAGGCTAATGAAAACGGATGAGGTTTGGACGTATGCTGGGAATTAGTTCTTGTATGGGAGAATTGGCAAGTTCTCCAACACACCTTTGACTATTGTGGATACAAAATCACAAAAGATTCCTGTTAAAGCAGGTTGTTTCACAAGCTGAATGTCCCTATTGTCATTTTGAAGAGGGTGTTTGTAGTCAGGGTTTCTGGAAAGAGTGGAGTTTTCCATGGACAGTCCATGAAGTCTGTGATCTGGTTAGCAGTGTAGTTAACTAAGTGCTGGAGATGTTTGGTGCAGTAAGCCTCATCCCCTGAACCACATGAATCTGCATGTTAGGTAAAGTTTTGGACACGTGTGATGTTTAAAGATAGGCATGAAACCTAGATTAGACTTCTGGATGTTTGCCTAATGGCTGCTATCTCTTGTGTTTCTCATGTGTTGTTTTTGCTCTTTGCAGGTCCTCCAAGCCAAGCAATGTGGGCCTTAGGAGATAAAATTGCTTCTTCCATAGTGGCACAGACTGCTGGCATTCCAACTCTTCCTTGGAGTGGCAGTGGTAAGAAGGAAACTGCCATGTGCTTATCAAGATCATTCTAGTAATATTTTCTTCCCCACATCTCATCTGTAAGAAGTGTCTCTGCACAAAAAGGTGTTCCAAAGGATGTTCCATCTGTTTAGAATTTCACATCTGTACTTGAGGCTTAGCTACTGTGATATATATGGGTATGCCAGGCAGAATTTCCATGTTGTGTAATGGGCTGTAGCTCTAACAGAACAGCTGCAGTTTCTGGCGTTTCTGCAGTCTTCTAGCATGGAGTGTGTAGTTTTGGAGCACATGGCCAATACTCTACTTCCATGGAAGCAGTATGCAGTTTGAAAAGACTGTAAATGGCAACAGAATTACACAGGGGAAATGAAAGAGGATGTAACTTGTTGCATCTGCTCTCCAGGAAGCAGGAATATCTCTTTGCATTCTGCATTCTCTCTCTTCTAAATGCTTCCAGACCAGTTCCTTGTGGAACTGGATTGTTTCTGCTGTGGCTGTGTTTGACTGCTGTTTGTTTCACTCATGTCTGCTGTGTGAGTTCTCTCGAGCTAAGAAGATGCTGCTTTTATTTCAGGTCTTCGAGTGGACTGGCAGGAGAATGATCTGCAGAAGCGAATCCTCAATGTTCCTCAGGAGCTGTATGAAAAAGGCTACGTGAAAGACGCGGACGATGGACTGCGGGTGGGTGGCTGGTGGTCTGGAGGTATTTGAGGTCTTGCTGGAGAGAGCTGGAGGTTTGATGTATTTGTAACGGGAGGACAAACTAGAACTAGGCTGTCAGCCTCACAGAGCTGAGCCTTGGAATCTGGAAAGCGATCTTTCACATGGACCCAGCCTGCAGGATGAGGTGGGAATTAGGAGAGAGACAAGATACGGAACCAGAGTTGTATTTCACTAAGGACTCTTCTGGTTTTTGGTTAATGCAGGACGGAGGTGTTTTTAATAATGACCCATGGCCTCATACTTGGTCTCATCTTTTGTTGAGTTTCTCTTTGAGGAAGATTTCTGGAATAAGAAATATTGCTGGCACAATGCAGGATTTGGGAGTCTTCCTTTGTGAAGGAAGGGAGTGGGATACATGATCTTTGTGTTACCCAGTGCAACGACTTCCCATCTTTTACAAAAGCTTTTCTGTGAGTTAGTGAATTTAATGACAAAAGATTTTGTAATCGCTTTGAGAAGCAAGAGTCACAAAAGCACTGCTCCTTTTTCCAACTTCAGGCATCCTCTCAAACTGGGATATTTGGTTTCTGTCCCAGTCATGTCTTGGTTACTAAATAGGCAGGCATAGAAGCTTGGACACAAATCAACAGGAAAATAAAGATCTTTTCAACCGTTTTGTACTTACCCATGTTTTTTCTGCCCATCTTGGTCAGGCTGCTGAGGAGGTTGGCTACCCTGTCATGATCAAGGCTTCTGAAGGAGGAGGAGGAAAAGGAATTAGGAAGGTTAACAACGCAGATGACTTCCCCAACCTATTCAGACAGGTAACTTTTCCTGTTGATTTGTGCTGTCTTGTTCTGAATGCTCAGGTTAGGTGATTCTGAGACCCCTGTATCAGAAACATTAAAGAGCTGAAGAAGACTGCGTTATGTGTCAGAGCATGTTTAGCTACTTTGAATCATGAGTTCATGCTTTCTTTGCTCTGTATGTTGACAGGATTTCACTCTATCTGCATATCCAGTACAGTTGTTAAATGCCCAGACTTTACTGGAGGTGCTGAAGAAATCCAAGTAATGGAGGGCATGAGCAATGTAACTCAGAAGTGTTGAGGGACATGTGCCTTTTTTAGCTTGTGAGTTACTTAGGAAAGGTGAGAGGAAAGGAAGTGGTACTGTAATTGTATACAAGTGAACAAAGTGTATTCTCAGCCTTAGGTGGCCCAGGGGAAGCATTATGGCTGTTCCTTGCTTAAAAAATCAATTGGGATGATTGTGACTAAGGTGCTTACAAGAAATGATCAGTGTATTTGTGTTGTCTCTGCTGTAGGTTCAAGCTGAAGTCCCAGGCTCTCCAATCTTTGTGATGAGACTGGCCAAGCAGTCCCGGCACCTGGAGGTGCAGATCCTGGCGGATCAGTACGGCAATGCCATCTCACTCTTTGGCCGGGATTGCTCCGTGCAACGCAGGCACCAGAAGATTATTGAGGAAGCACCTGCTTCTATTGCAACTTCGGTGGTGTTTGAGCACATGGAACAGGTGAGGGGGGCTCTGCAGGTTCTCTTTGCCTTGTGAGGCTCCAGAATCAGGCAGGACTTAGGGGTATTTTTTGACATCATCAGGAGTTTTGCACTCTTGAATCTTCTATAGGAGCAATATAGGGTTGTGTGTCGCACACTGGTTAGTGTGGACTCACATTCCCAATGGGACTCGCATTCCAAAACTGAGTCCACCATGAAATAATATGACAAAAAACATTTAAACCACACTTCTCTCCTATTTTTGGGGTACACGCGTTTTAAAGGCTGCTCCACAGCTGTCACATTAAAAGCAAGCTGTAAGAGTTACATGAATTGTTTGATGCTGAATAATAAATATTTGCTTCAAACTCTGGCTTCTGTAACTTGTAAACCAAAGCTCCTGTGCCACGTGCTTTTCTCTGAGCAGTTTTTAGGCCTGTTCCAAGCTTTTGGGTGTTTTGGAATGCCAGCCAAAAAGTCTGAAGTGGGAGGAATGGATGAACAGAGCGCAGTAACTGAGCGCAGGGTCTGGAAATCAAATGCTCCTTTTCCTATATCCTAGTGTGCAGTGAAGCTTGCCAAAATGGTGGGATACGTGAGTGCTGGCACTGTGGAATACCTGTACAGCCAGGATGGCAGCTTCTACTTTCTGGAGTTGAATCCCCGCCTGCAAGTGGAGCACCCTTGCACAGAGATGGTGGCTGATGTCAATCTGCCTGCAGCGCAGCTTCAGGTGAGTCAAGTGCCCAGGCCCTGGCTCCTGGAGGCTTTCAGAAGTACTCAAACTGTATGAAGAGGCCCAAGCATGAAAAACCTGTTCTGCTGAAGGCTTAATAAAACAGGGGGGTGGATTGTTCTCTGAGTCAGAGTTCTGTGTTAAAACCAGATCACAGACTCACGCTGCAGATGAATAGATTGTGGTACTGATAGAGGAGAGAATATAAAGCCAAGTGTTAGAGAGCTCTCCTAAACATGGCCTATATCTGCATGTGCGGATAGGTGATACATGGCATGTCCACATTTCCTCCTCTACAAAACACCCAGTAATTCAAAGGCCTATTTTGGTCCCCCTCTACAGAACACCCAATAATTCAAAGGCTCATTTTGGTACTCTCTCATCTTGGCATTGATCTTTTATGGCTGGAGCAAAGCTTTGTTCAGTATTCCAATGTATATATATGTATATGTGTGTGTGTGTGTGTGTATATATATATATAGATGTATATGCATCCATCCTATTACAACTGTTTCGCTAAGTTATGGCCTTGCTGTTTGGCTCTTTCTGATTTGGAAAGCAAAGAGAGGTTATTTTCTAGTTGTTTCTCCTGGACTGCTTCAGGTAAAAGGAGTGTGAAGAGAAGCTCCTCTACTCTGCTCTTGTGAGATTCCACTTGCAGCACTGTGTGCAGTTCTGGTGTCCTCAACATAAAAAGGACATGGAGCTGTTGGAACAAGTCCAGGGGAGGCCATGAGGATGATCAGGGGCTGGCGCACCTCCCGTAGGGAGACAGGCTGAGAAAGGTGGGGCTGTTCAGCCTGGAGAAGAAAAGCTGCATGGAGACCTCAGAGCAGCTTCCAGTGTCTGAAGGGGGTTACAAGGATGGTGGAGAGAGGGACTCTTCATCAGGGACTATAGCGATAGGACAAGGGGTGATGGGTTCAGACTGAAACAGAGGAAGTTTAGGTTAGATATAAAGATGTTCTTCCCTGTGAGGGAGGTAAGGTGCTGGAACAGGTTGCTCAAGGGAGTTGTGAATGCTCCATCCCTGACAGTGTTCAAGGCCAATTTGGACAGAGCCTTGGTTTGGTGTGTGGTATCCCTGTCCATGGCAGAAGGGGTTGGAACTGGATTATCTTTCCACCTCAAATCATTCCATGATTCTATGACTAGATCAACTTTAAGCACTGAAATTTTTTTGTGAAGCAAGTTGACAATTAGGAGCCTTCTGTCTCATGGGGACCTTAATATAACAGGCCTTATGTGTGCCCATCCTCAGCTGAGCCAGCCCTGGCCAGCTCTCTCTGGAGCCTTTTAATCACTCAATGGAAAATACTGGCTGAAGGGCTTAAGGTGGATATTACACTGAGCTCAGCTGTCCTGAGAAGTATGAACGTTCCAAGACGTGTCAGTGGAGACCAGAAAACAGGCATGTGTGTGTATCTGCTCTACTGGAACCGCAGCATCAGCTTCTGCAGAGTTGGAGTTAATTCCTCAAGGAATAGGCCCTCTCAGCGAGGAGGGAAACTTACTTAGCAGTACTTTATTATTTGCATAATCATAATCACTATTATTATATGTGTCTTTATCTATTTGTATTATATTTTTCCTTAGATTGCCATGGGGATTCCCCTCCACAGGATCAAGGATATCCGAATGATGTATGGTGTTTCTCCGTGGGGAGATGGATCTATTGACTTTGAGAACTCAGCTCACGTCCCCTGTCCCCGCGGCCATGTCATCGCTGCGCGTATCACTAGTGAGAATCCTGATGAGGTGGGTGCTTTAAACTCGTAGTTACTGACCACATGCTGAGAACTGGGGCCTTACACCGAGGTTCAATCCCTGCTGCTGCTCCCTGCTGAACATTTTGGCAGCAAATATAAAGCATTCTTCCTTTATCTCATTTAGCTGATGGTTCTGTTTAGACACAGCCTGAACTTATTTGTGTATATGTGATGTTGCAGCACAAAAGTGCTCTGGCCTTCAGAACTCTGATTACTTCCCTAATTCTGGATTATTTACTTTTTCTTTAGGGTGTATAGCAATGTCTGTCTGTCTTTACAGGGATTTAAGCCCAGTTCTGGAACAGTTCAGGAACTGAACTTCCGCAGCAATAAGAATGTCTGGGGCTATTTCAGTGTGGCTGCTGCAGGAGGGCTTCATGAATTTGCTGATTCTCAATTTGGTCACTGCTTCTCTTGGGGAGAAAACCGGGAAGAAGCCATCTCGTAAGTAGTCAGAAAAGTGGGAGAACCTTGGGAATTGCTTGGTTTTGTCCTCTTTGATCCAAAGTGCCATGGAAAAACAAGGCTGCTTCCGTACTTGTAGGCGTTTGAAGTTTCTCTCTCTTTGCCTTGTTTCCCACAGCATGGTCAGGCTTCTCATCCTGTCTTGCTTTGCAGTTACACTGTGTTGCACCTACATTTCTACACTTTTTGCTTACTTTATAGTTTATCTTTCTGTTTCATTCCTGCCTTGTGTGCCTACTGCTGGGATATGGTGCAGCTACTGTTGTGTTGAAGTCCTTCCTAGAAAGCATTTGGGTGGTGGAAGGCTTCTAAAAGGAGAAACACTGATAACTTGTTAGGCCAGTGCCTTATAATGGTTTATAAACCACCGAGCATCCTTTTGTCGTGTGGAATGAGGAAGCATCCAGTCACAAGACGGGACTGTCTGACCTGTCATCTAGGCTCTGTTTGTATCCGTAGCCTTTTCTCTCTTCTGTTCTTTGTGGGATGGAGACCACATCTGTCTGTCCTATCTACGCTCCTGACATGTGGTAAATGCCTGTGTGGTAACAGTGGGAACGCCTGATCTATATCTTGGCTGGCTGAGCTGCTCTCATTCCCACCTGCACCAGATTGAAGGAAATTAACATTCTGTCATTCCCAAGCTTGTTATACGGGATCTTGGTCCAGTGCACGCGCTCTTCTGCTGTTACCTTCAGACTGCTTTTCCCCAGCAGCTCATAGGGGGAGCTACCTGAAGTTAACCAGTTTGCACATCGTTGCTGTTAGTACGGGATAGATAATAGGTTTTCTTCTCTCTTTCAGAAACATGGTAGTGGCTTTGAAGGAGCTGTCCATCCGAGGGGATTTCAGAACCACTGTGGAGTACTTGATTAAACTCCTGGAAACAGAAAGCTTCCAGCAGAACCGCATTGACACGGGCTGGTTGGATCGACTTATCGCTGAGAAAGTTCAGGTGCTGCTGCTTCCATTACAGACTACAGATTGGAGTGAGAAGGGAAATGGCATGAGGACAAGCTTGGTGCATGCTGGTTGCAAGAGGATAAGGATTTAGGAGTGGTTAATTTCTGCTTATTGCTTTATAAATTAATATTTTCATTTGCTTTAGTTCTTATTCATAGCAAACAACTCCTCAACCATCATGAGATTGACCAGAAAAGCATCTTAGTGTATGTGGGAATTAAGGCTGGTATTTTGGTTTGCAGTTTGGGACATGTAGGTGGAGCCTCAAGGTGTGATCCAGGAATTCAGAAGTGTGGTTTTCTTTGAAGGAATTACAAATGTAATTGCTTCTATTTGTACTTGCATGGATTCCTTGTCAATTAAGAAAGGTTGGCCGTGAACCAGAAATAAAGCTGAGATTACTTGTTTCTGCAAGTGGTTGTCCAGAATGGACTGAAGCTAAAGGAGATGGAATGGTGTTGTGTACCCTTCCTTTCTAGGCTGAGAGGCCTGATACGATGCTGGGTGTGGTGTGTGGAGCTCTGCACGTGGCTGATGTGAGCTTTCGCAACAGCGTCTCCAACTTCCTGCACTCTCTAGAAAGGTAAAATTGCTGAGAAGCCAATAGTCATGAGCTGTGATTTACAAGTTTGATTCAGGTCCAGTCCAGAAGTATGCAGAGCTTGTTGTCTGCTGACTGTTCACTGGTAGACTCTTCTAGGAAGAGACGGTTTAAAAGCTTGTTCCCATCTCTCTGCTAGTGTTTTCCAAACTCTTGCATGCATCCTTGAACCTATTTGGGCCCCTGGTAGCAGTTTGATGGCTTCTAAAAGACCAGTTTTGTTTTATACTTCACTTTCAAGGGGCCAAGTCCTGCCTGCTCATACACTGCTGAACACTGTGGATGTGGAACTCATCTATGAAGGACGGAAGTATGTGCTGAAGGTACGATGCACAGTGTGGATACCCATCCTCTTGTCTCTTTTACTTGGGAATGCCTGTGCTGTTCTTGCTTAATCTTTGTAATGTATAATTACTGGAATTAAATCTGTGCAGAGTTCATTTTCTCTGCTTTAGTGGGGTTGGGCAATCAGTACTCTCTCCCTTGTGATGATATCCCATCATGTCTTTCCATTGCAATATCTTTCAGGGTCATTTTAATCTTTCAGGCTCAAGACATGGTCTGAATAGGGTGGAGAAAACTTTGTGATTGGCAAAGAATACTGCCTGTTGGGTGACCAGAACTTTCAATTGATGTCTCCGAACATGTAGATCTATTCTGTTGGTGTTTTGAGCCCAGTTTCATCAGCATGACCAGAATCTATAGTATTTTTTCCCTTTAGTGGTGCTTTTTCATTGCTGTGTGCAAAAAGACCATGTTAGAAACACTGTTGAGAGGTTTCAAAACCGAGTGTACAAGGGTTAGGAAATACTAGACTGAAGATTGCCTGTGCAATCTCAATGAGCTTACTTGGGCAAATTTATTACAGTGTAGCTTTTAGTGACATGACCATGCACTGCTTTTTGCAGCTGTAAAGATTCTGCACCTCCAGGATTGTATTTTGGCACCCCTTTGGTGAGAGGCACTGAACAGCACTAAAGGGTGCTCTAAGTGTTTACCCAGCTTCAAGCAGGAGCTCTGTGGCAGAGGCTGTGGTAGGATGCCTTTCTCCAGGGAGAGCTTTAGCTGCTTTCTCCAGGAGACAGTCTCTTTCTTGTTACTTCTCTCGTTCATTAGGCAATATTAGTACATGACTGAGCCTTGTATGTAGATCAGGGTGAAGAAATGGTATATGATTGCATAATCAATCCTGTACTATTAATGCATAGGTGTGAAAGGATTTAATCAAGATTAATGGACAGCATTAGTTCTGGCATCTCTCGACTGCTAAATGCTTGGCCTTGTGATCCCAAATTCTTATGCTTTTCCCATCTAACATAAGAACAAGTGGCTCTGTTCCCCTTCATTTCCCACTGTTGGAGTGCTGGAAAACTGTCTGTTGTGGCAACCAAGGTGCTGTAAATGCTGGGTTCATTTCATGGGCTCCATACTGTTCTTGTGGACCTGCAGGTGACCCGACAGTCTCCCAATTCCTACGTGGTGATCATGAACAGCTCCTGTGTGGAGGTGGACGTGCACCGGCTGAGTGATGGAGGACTGCTCTTGTCTTATGATGGTAGCAGCTATACTACCTACATGAAAGAAGAAGTGGACAGGTAGCAACCTGTAAAGGTCACTGTTTAATTTGCATACAAGCCAGAATTAGGTGTATTGGTGACTTTACACATCAGTTGGGAATGGAATGCTCTCCTAGGAAGGGGCTAGTGGGTGTAGCATGGATGAGTTTAAAGGGAGAATTTGCCTTCGCCTCAAGAGCAGATCTTGGCTACTGTTAGAGCAAAGATCTGGATGTTTGTGGAGTCCATGTTCTCCTGATGGTTCTTTAAAAGTGCCCTTTTGGGTTATTAAAAAAAACCAAAAAAAAACAGAATATGAAAATCTTCAAAATCCTTGAAACCCCACAAGTGCCTCAGAAACAGACCCAAGATTTGCTGTTTCAGTGCATTCCCTCAAAACTCCCTGCAGGGATCAGAGCCATAAGGTCCGTAAATCTCCCATCTTCTGGAACGTAAACCACTGCCCCCTCTGCTGGTTTCTTTTCTGTGACAAATGCAACGAACCTGGTCAGGATTACAAGAAAAGTTTGGGTCACTCCTGCTCTCTCCAGCTTTGCGCTGGACACAAAATGATTTTGTGCGGGCAGTTTGGTGCATGTGTTGAGTGTTCCGTGTAGCAAGTGTCATCTCCAGTAACACCAGGCTTTGTTTATATGAAATCTGGAACTTCCTTGCTTCTGGTTCTGGTAATGAGTGTTTTGTGGAGAAGCAGCACAAAAGTGGTGCACAACGAACCTTGCTAAGGGCTGTTGTGTCTGCTTGCTGATCCTTGGCTTCCATAGACTTAGTTTGATACAATTAATGTGAACTTTCAGATGCAGGGCTGGGCCTTTCAGCTCGGAAGAGCTGGTTGAAGGGGGTTTCTTTAGAACAGGGAAAGAGAGAATGCATTTTCCCCTTTGCATGCTTTCCCCAAGAAATTCTGTTGCAGCGATTTACCCCGTTCTTTCCCAGGTATCGCATCACTATCGGGAACAAGACCTGTGTGTTTGAAAAGGAGAACGATCCCTCCATTCTGCGCTCACCTTCCGCTGGGAAGCTCATCCAGTACGTGGTGGAGGATGGGGGCCACGTGTTTGCTGGCCAGTGCTTTGCAGAAATAGAGGTAAAAGAGTCTCGGAGAACTGACTTGGCTGCAGATGCTGAATCTGCCCAGGCAAAAGCTGCTGTGAGGGGTGAGAAGTTGAATGTTTTGAACCTGGGAACTGAGCACAAGGGATAAGTCACAGTATTTCCTTTCCAGATGTTGTCTTTAACTTGGGCTAACACAGGAATCAGCAGTGACAGCTGATGGGGTGGGGAAGAAATTAAGTGCTTAACAGCTGAAATTGGAGTGCTGATGACTGTATACCACGTGATAAGCAAAGTTTCTCTCAGATAACCATAACCACGATTATGATCTTGCTGTGACACCAAGGCAGAGTGGTGTCCATGTGTACTGTGTTTTCTAGCTGTGGTGAAGAAGGCTGTCTGTGTGTATATCACTGTTTAGTACTAACACAGACTCGGAAACAGTCATATGACAAGATTAAGTAGCAAATAAAGAGTTCTCTGATTACCTGTTCATTTATCAGGTCGATTGGATGAGTTAATCAGTGTCACTCCTCCCTTCTCCCTTGGAAGTTCGTTAACTCTTGGAGAAGAGGAGGATGAACAATTTCTGCATCACTGTGAGGAAAGCATGAGAGATTGTGTAGGAGTGAATGGCTCAAACAGATTTGAGGGAGGGGAGGGTGTGTGTTGACAGAGGGGCAATTAAACCCATTGAGGACAATGTGTAGGAGAAAAATACCAAGCCAGAGATCCACATATTTTATGTAAGTGCTTTTACGCTGCAACAGAGCCGTGGCTAAGAAGGAACCACCTACTCGATTCCTGTGTTCCCAGTTGTGGTGTGTAGTATACCAATGGTAAAACTAAACCATCTCCCCTCATACCCAGCCCTTCTGCACTGAAGGCAAAGAGCTTCTATGTTGATGTAAGGAAGAATCTCTGCAAAGAGCAGTCTGAGACCTGTGACCTCTAGAAAGCAATCCTGGTTCCCTCTGCTAGAAGTAAATGTGTTGCTGTAGCTTTGGCAAGTGGCTCACTCACCTCTAGTCTTTAGAGTGCAGTGAACTCTATTGCAGCAGTAAATTGTATCTGCTTTTTTAATTGTGTTGAATATGGGACCTTCACGAGTACCTATTGGTCTAGGCAGTGTGGAACAGATGACATTCCTGCTGCGCTGGTTTGTGGCCAGTTATTCCATTCTACCATTCACTTTGTTGCCTGGGGTTTCAATCCCAGTGTGTGTGTTTTTAAGCCTTTGTGAAAGTCTGAACCCAAAAGGTGCTCATGAAGGTTTGCCTGTGGCAGGACATTGGCTGCTGGCTCACAAAGCTAGAACACTGGGGTAGTGTGGCAACTGTGTGGGTAACATGTTTCCCTTGCTACAGGTAATGAAAATGGTGATGACACTAACAGCAGGAGAATCAGGCTGCATCCATTATGTCAAACGCCCAGGAGCCGTCTTGGATCCAGGCTGTGTGATTGCCAAGCTCCAGCTGGATGATCCCAGCAGGGTTCAGCAGGTGAGAAGCTGCAGGAAGTGCAGATGTTTGCTGTGGTTTGAATAGGGGAGTGATGTTGAGAGTGGTACAAGATGGTCCTGTGTAAGGAACCAGTTTCAGATGTGTGCAGTGTACTGGCATTGTCACTTTACCACTCATTTGTCTCAGGTGAGGACTAGAACTCAGGTTGTCTCTTTCTTTGATTCAGTGTAAAGTTACATACATTCTTGTTCCCTTCTTACCTCAGTAGCACCGTTGGCCTATTTTGTGTGTATACACAACATGGAACTGTTGGAGATCCAGCTCATAACCTTCCTGTCTCTCAACCAAGTGCATTTTCCACACAGGGAATTCTTCCAAGTTCAGTCTGAGCCTCCAGTTGAGGGTAAACTGGATGTTACCACCGTGGATGATGCCGTGCAGGTGGCTTAGTGACAAACTGTGCTGTTCATTGTGTTCCCAGGCTGAACTGCACACAGGTACCTTGCCTCAGATCCAGAGCACAGCGCTTCGAGGTGAGAAACTCCATCGCATCTTCCATTATGTCCTGGATAACCTGGTCAATGTGATGAATGGATACTGCCTGCCAGAGCCCTACTTCAGCAGCAAGGTATCCATTGGTTCTTTATCAGTTCAAGGTTAGGCTGGCCAGTTTGCATGTCAGGATTCAGGCAGTGCTACCCTGCTAGTGCCAGCTCAGTTCAGTTCTTTTTTTTCTTAGACTTCCTCCCAGTCAATCTCACCAGAAAGTAAGATGGGAAATCCCATTGGTGGCACCCAAAACAAAGGCAAGGAGTTGAGCTAGATCTTTACTGCTTGTCACTGCAGCCTTGTACATGTGTAGCCAGCTGTGGTAGAAGTCCTAGAGGGAGGAGGTAAGAAGGTGGATGAATCTGAGTCAGCTCTTGGTTTAAGGTAGCACAGCAGCTGTGTCATCTATTCCAGCTCTCTCTCTCAGTCCCTGGATTAGCTGTGTGGTAAAACAGTATTGAAGAAGACCTCAATGAAAAGCCTTTTCTCCCTTTTTGCTGCTTACTCTTTTCTTCATACTTGCCTTTACACCAAGTTGTCTCTCTCCAGGTGAAGGGCTGGGTTGAGCGACTAATGAAGACACTGAGAGATCCATCTTTACCTCTGCTGGAGCTTCAGGACATCATGACCAGTGTTTCTGGACGGATTCCACCCAATGTAGAGAAATCCATCAAGAAGGAGATGGCCCAATATGCCAGCAACATCACATCAGTCCTTTGCCAGTTTCCCAGCCAACAGGTGATGAAACCACACTTTATAGGGGAACAAAAATTGATTTGTGTTGGGGCAAAGAGAGAGGGAGGGAAGGCTCCTTTAAATTATCTGGAGCTTAGTTGGACCTGAAGGATGCATTTCAACATGAGACCTTCATGATGAAATGTACTTACCTGTATCACTTGAGCTTGCCTGCTTTGCCTGTACTGAAGGATGTGTGTTCCCTGCTCAGTGTAGCTTTAAACAGGCAGTTTGGCAGCAGTTTAATCCTGTCAGTGGCCTTGTGGGCGTTTACTTATTTGCTTTTTGCCTGGTGCATGTGCTGCAGTGCAATATGTAGTGTTGACGTTAAAAAGGAGTGATTGCAGCCAAGGGAAGCCTGGTCACGTAATGAGGTGTTGGAAGATGATTTCCCCAGTATATGGTACTGTGCATTGATTTCTGTATCATTGTCAGGTCGTTATCTTCCTTAGCACTTTATAAGGCTTTGGCCTTCGCTGGGGTGTGCTGGAGCTCTGGTCTGTTTGGAAGAGCTCAGTTTCTCTGCTGGTTGCTCAGCCAGATTGTCCCACTGGGACAGGGACGCTGATGTGATGGCTCTCTTTCAGATTGCCAATATCCTGGATAGCCACGCAGCCACCTTGAACCGCAAATCGGAGCGTGAGGTCTTCTTCATGAACACTCAGAGCATTGTGCAGCTGGTACAGAGGTGAGCCATTTTCAGGGCTGCTCCCTAACTGTTGGGTGGTTGGCTGGGGTGTTCTGCTGCTGCTTGGAAGATCTGAGCCTGCTCATCTGTGTTCAAATGGTTTTATTACACTCGGAGTCTAAATCACGAGGAGTAAGCCTGCACGCTTCCCTCAGGTCCACAGGGAGGAGGATGTGTGTGGCTCCTGGCACACAGACACATCCTGTTTTGGTCATTGCCGTATGAAAGATTTAACTTCTATCCTGATGCTGATCATGTCTTGGCCATTTCACTAAGCTGCTGGTGTGTGTTACACCTTCCAGTGTCTGGAGTTTTGAGTATTTGTAGAAGAAAAGGATAGTTGGTTGCAAAACATGAGCCTTGCTTCCCATAATATTAATGGCAGGAATTATGCATTCATGTAACAATTGGGATTTTCAGGTATGTTCCTTTCTGTAAGCAAACAGGTTTGCTCTGCCACTCCTGGTGAGTGTTGTTCACTTGTGGGTCTTCAGAAGCTGTGCTTGGTCAGTCTCACTGACAGTAAGTGCTAGGTTTCACTTACTTGCTTCTGCAGGTACCGGAGTGGCATTCGAGGTCACATGAAAGCAGTGGTGATGGATCTGCTCCGTCAGTATCTGAAGGTGGAGACTCAGTTTCAGCATGGTGAGTCTCTAAGAACGTCAAGGATTTGACTTCTGAAAGAACCACACTTGATTCCAGAAGGTCCACATGGACCCCCCTCGATAAAGACTACTCTAACTTTGTGATCAGGGTTAGGGCTCCACATGTAGAAGCTTCATAGTAGAAGCTTGATTTATTTCCTGATTCCTGAGTATCTGCAGCAAAATTAGAGTTGGAAAAACTGTTTAAATTCACCACCCTGTTTAGGTCTCTCTTGCCTGTTTATTAAATTCTATGGAAATAAAATCAAATGCAGTGAAAGAACCCCCAAAAGATCGCTGAGTTGTTTGCACCTGCAGTAGAACACCCGGAAACTGCTTGCTGTTCCCAAGAGCAAACCTCAGCCTGAAACACAGTAGAGTTAAATGCACTGCACTGCTGCATGCAGGCACAAGAGGGCAGTGGAGCACTAGGTGATTTTGAGGCTCCAGCTCTTACAGGTAGTTCAGATTCCACTCTTCTTTTGTCCTGCTCCATTACCTGCACCATCCTAATGGTACTGCAGCTTCATTTCCACTTCAATTTGCTGGTAGTAGAGGATGGAGCAAGTCTTTTTGCTGTTATTTTATTTTGGTTGTCACTGAAATGAAAGACTGAGCTCACCATTCCTCCCTTTTGAATTGCTCACAAAGGAGGTATTTGGTGTTGGAACTGTTTTAACAAGAGTAGGATGTTCAAATTACAGTTTGCAGTTGAGGGCTGGTGGAAGGAATGCTTTATTCTCAGAGCTGGGTGGACCATGCAAAGCAGATTCTCAAAACATGTATGGAGAAAAATAAAGGCACATCTTGTAACATGTATTCCTTAACACAGGGGTGTGGAGACTGGCAAAAATGTGCCTTTCTGATTGCAGGTCACTATGACAAGTGTGTCTTTACACTTCGGGAAGAGAATAAAAGTGATATGAATGCTGTGTTGAACTACATCTTCTCACATGCTCAGGTCACCAAGAAGAACCTGCTTGTTACAATGCTCATTGTAAGTTGTCTGTTGGTGCTTTCGAAATTTGCTGCTTCTTGTAGTTGTGTGTTTGATGCTTTGAAAGGTACTGAATTGATAGCTCTGTTCTCAGAGGTGGAAGCTTCGGACTACAGAAGCAGGGGCAGCAGAGGGGAGTTTCTTCATGTGTTCTTGAGGCACGTAAGCCATGTGTTAGAAGAGACCAAGGACACACTGTCCTGCTCAGTCTCTGTGCACCTTTTGGTTCATGACTGTCCTGCAATGGTTGCCTGTGAGAGGCAAGTGATTTGTGAGCATCTGTGGGGAGATAAGGATGGAGACTTCACTCTTACACTGGGAGGATGCTAGAGGGCTGTGACTTGGTTTAGTTTGCTTCTTCGTCTCCAGAGGCTTCAGAGAGGTCCTGTCTTTATATAGCTCATGGTACTCAAATTGGAGTTGCTTGGGAAGCAAAGCAGTATGCTGCCAGCACAAAAAGCAGATGTTGTAATAGCAACATTTTTATGGCCCTTATTTAGTAATGAGGGTGATATCCTGGTAGGGAATAGCACGAGCCAGCCCATATGGAGGCCCCTGAGGAGTTTCACATGCTCTGCCTTGATGAGCTGTAGTTTAGTCTTACGGGTTTGATGGTGACTCTCTTGGCTTCTTCCTGGTTATGGTCTCAGTCTGATCTCAGGCCTGCAGTGGTTCTTTCGGACCAGTGTACTCTGGTCTGCATGGTGGAATCTGACTCACTATCTCAGCACAAAGCTGGTCTCTTCACATCAGGCCTCTGGCCCTTGGTATGGTGTCCAGCGGGCTTGTGAAAGGATGGGGAATGTCCTGGGGTCAGAATTCCTCTTGGGCAGACATAGATTCCACCCTAGAAACACAAATGAACCCTCATGCCAGCACCCGCCATCACCTTCGCCGCTTCTTCTGGCTTGCTACTCCATGAAAACTTTCAGTTTCATCTACTTCAGTCTCACTAATGGGTAAAACTCCCAGTAAATGACTTTCCCGGGAAAAATAATTAAAACCCGGTTGAGTCCTGTCTCCTTTATTTCATATTTCATAAAAAGCCTCAAGAACTCCTTGTCCCACAGAACGCTTTGAAGCAGGATGAATGCCCCCTTCCTCAAGGCAGGCTGAATTTAGCTATGACAGACTACAGCTAGGTATCCTGCTTTGTAAGAGGCTCATTTCAATACTATCTCCCTCTTCTCCCCGCTCCTTTTCTATTTCATTTTACAAGCACAATGTGGGCTGGCACTGCCAAAAATCTGTCCAGAGTAGCCATGCCCAAAATAGCTCTCCAAAGCAGAAACAGAGTCATCATTGTGCTAGGCTGAGGCTGGGTTTCTTCAATTCCCATCGGTGAGGTAGAAGGACCGGTTCTTTCTGTCTGCCTCTCCTTTCCCCCCTCCTTGTTTTTGTCCTCCTCTTTTCCTTTCTTTCCCTTTCTGCTGTGCCGTGTGATTGTAAGTAACACTTGCCTTAAGAATCTCATTATTTGAACACGGAGCCATATTTCCTCTGAGAATTCTGGAGTAGCTTTGAGCCGGGGCTGTTCATTTCTCAAGTAATCATGCTGGTGTGATGGAGAGAGAAAATGGCAGCTGTTCACAGCTCAGGCCTTCAATTTGCTTCAGAGTCCAGTCACTCAAGTGTGTAATTACACGGGGGTGCCGGGGAGGCCTTAGGCCTTGTCAGAGAGCTGGTTTGAGGCTTTGCTGCTGCCTTTGCCAATCAGTGCAGGCAGAGCCAGTGCGGTGCCAGTTTCCCTGCTTCAGTTTGCTCTTGGCATCCTGATTGTTTCTCCCTAAAACAGGAGTGAAACTTTGCTCTGTCTGGTTTTTCACCTCTGGACGTGCTGGGTGGTGGAGGCAGAGCTGTGCTGTGTCTTTGTATTGGTGTGTGCTGGGAGACAGGGAATGCAGAGAAACATCAAAGCCTTTTCCTTTTCCTTCCTCTGCAGCCATTCTGCCAACCACTGTCAGTTGCTTCCCAATTCCTGGCCTAGGAATTATTACTAGGCAGAAGCTCTTCCCTGTGAGGGTGCTGAGGCGCTGGCACAGGGTGCCCAGAGAAGCTGTGGCTGCCCCATCCCTGGCAGTGTTCAAGGCCAGGTTGGACACAGGGGCTTGGAGCAAGCTGCTCTAGTGGAAGGGGTCCCTGCCTGTGGCAGGGGTTGGAGCTGGATGAGCTTTAAGCTCCCTTCCAACCCAAACACTTCTGTGATGATTTTATGATTTCTACTCGAGTAAAGGTTGACATCCCAATTTGCGAGAGCTTAAAACACACTGAAGGGATCCTCTGATGCTTTTGGTGGGCTGTGGCCTTTTGTTGCCAAATTATTTCTGTGGGGTGGTTTAAGTTTGTCCTCCAATGGCAAATGTCGTGTCAAAATACCTTCATGCTTATCCTGTTATTGAGGTATCCCTGGGAATCCATTAGGGGCAAGGGGCTCTGAGGATGGTTTAGCAATAGTGTTATTATGCCATCCTTCACCTTTTTTAGCTAGCACATTTAAAGCAGGATGGGAACCACTTCATCCTTCCTATGTGTGTTGAAATGTTTGCTGGTCCAAGACTGGTTAGTAGTGGACAATGATCTAGTAAGAGATAGTAGCTGTTTACCTTTGGAATGGCATGTAGCATGAGCTGTAATTTGTTAGTCAGTCTATGGGACTTGTATTATTTGTCTTTTGGGTTTTTAGTTTGTTTTCCCTGGCAGGCTTATCAGTGTAACCTGCTGCACAGAGGTTTCCCTTTTCCCCTTTCTGTTCTTGGATCTTCAGAGGGTCTTTTCTGGATTCTGTGTTTGACATCTCTTAAAGACACCAGCACTCTTTCCTGTTGCAAATCCCAGTTTCATCTCTCATTTCCCTCCTGTGATTCATTTGCCAAGAGAAAAGCTGCTAAGTGCTGGGTAGAAGAAACACATTAGAGGCTCCTAGAAGGTTTCCAGCTTCGGGAGTGAGAGGAAGAGGCTCCCAGGCCACTGAGCCACAGTTGAGTCAAAGACTGGGGGGTTATTCATGGGAATTGAATTATGATTTTACTCTAGCTTTGTGTAGTTTTGTTAGAAGAATGACAGGATCTTCCATTTCTGGTATTGCTGAAGCTGTGTTAAGTGTGTGGTTGGGGAATTGTAGGGTTTTGGGGGGTTTGAGGTGGTTTTGAAGTGGACTTCGGGAGGTTCTCCTGCCAGATAAACGCCTTCTGTTGCTTCACCATGAAAGGTGACCATTTGTTAATCCTTGCATGCAACAAAAGGCATTTCACTACGATTAAATGCTCTTTGGGTTTTGCTTTGCTGCTAGAAGGGAGTTCTTTTGCACAACTGAAATTGGGTAATGGAAAAACGTTTAACCCCAGTCTCTTTGACAAGTCAGTATTTCTCATATGTTTGAGTGCCACAGCACATGCTACAAACAAGAAAATGGGTGACAGTGCCAGTCCCTTCTTTCCTCTGTAGCTTTATTTATATGGGTAAAAGTATTGAGAGCCCGGCATTACAGAGTGATTGAGATGGGGGCCTGCAGAGGTGATGTGGTCCATCGCGTGCGTGTGTAGTTCAGGTTTCAGCTCCTCTGCAGGAGGATGGGAGATGGTTTTCCTCTGTTCTAAGCATTTTCAGTTCTCTTGATGTTTAGGACCAGCTCTGTGGCCGTGACCCCACCTTGACAGATGAGCTGATTAATATTCTGACAGAGCTGACCCAGCTCAGCAAGACGACCAACGCCAAAGTGGCCCTGCGAGCGCGGCAGGTAAGGGAGCGTGTTCAGAATCCGAGCTGATCCCTGCGAGAGCCAGGCTGTGCCGTTGCTGGTCAGATCAATAGGGGCTGCTCCCGCTTGGAGCTCTCTCTTTTGGAAAGTCTATATCTCTTGATGTTTAGTTTGATTACTGTGCAAATGTGACAAGTAGATTACTGTGAGCAGCTTTAACGGTGAAATGAATTAACTGATGGTGAATCACTGTGACAGGCTAACAAAGATTGCAGTGGATTCCCAACCACTGTAATATTTGAAGTACAGATTACATTCCTTTTTTCCCTCCTCATCCAAAAGGTTTTGTCTGGCTTAAGTGGGAGTTTGTGTGGTTTGTGTGACAGAGGAAGTCGAAATACGTGGTTGCTGTGGTTCCTTCTGCCTATATAATCTGCGAACCCAACTAGCTCAGGCTGCCTGGCATATGGAGGCAGCTGTGCAGTGAACAGCCAGGACATGAATCTGGGTTCACCAGCAGCCTTACAACTGTGAATTGATGTGCACAGAACATGGAGAGAAATCTACACAAGAGCTACGTGTTCCTTGCAACCACTAAGGAATTATTGCAAGGAATTATGTTGGTCTTTTGCAGGTTTCTTTTGGCTTTGAATTGTGTTTTGTCAATCTCTTTTAATCTGAAAATAATTGGGAGAACTCTTGATATTGGCAGTTCCAACATTCTGGTACAGATAATAATCTGAATGCCAGATATGTACTTGGATATTATTGTGAGCTTCCTCTTTAGCAGTTAGTCTGTAGGCAGGAAGGAGTGAGAGGGCACAACCATTTCATGGTAATGCCAGCCCCATAGCCTGACCACTTCTCTCACTCCGCAATCCCTATCTCCATTCTGAAAGAAGGGAAGCTGACACTTTGAGGATCACACCTTTTATTTCAGAGCTTGACTATTGAAAACGAATGGGGCATTTGAAGCTGCTCAGTGACCTTATGTTTCCTTCAGGATTGTGTTTGTGTCCTTGAACCATTCAGTTATTGAACCTCTCAGCAGCATGCTGGGGATGGTGCTGCTGTCCTTGTCTATGTCTTTATGTTGCTCTTTCACTTCATTTTCTCCTGCAAGCTGCTTCCCCTTCCTATCTCTGCATCCTTCATGTTGGGCATTTAATACTTGGCACCAGTGTGTCCTGGTGCCTGTGCAGAAGCAGGCTCTGGTGCTGCTCCCTGCAGCTGCTGCCTGCCAGCTCTGCTTTCCAATTAACAGCCGGTCAGGCAATCCCCAGGACTGCAGCTCTGCAGTGCTAAATCACATGCACTGATGGAACTTGATTGAAGCTGTTCCTTTGCTCCATGGGGAACTGCCAATAATACAAACGGAGCAGATACACAAATGAGGCTGGGGAGGGGAGAGAGTTTGCAGCATCACCCAGGTGCCACAGAATTCACAGGAGAAACCAGCCGCCTCTGCTGGGATGGAGCAGGCTGGTGCTGCTCTGGAGGTAACAGCTGATGGCTCAGCATCACTCCTTCCACTGACATCCCCTGTGTGTGCTCTTCACCAGGTTCTCATTGCTTCCCACTTGCCCTCCTACGAGCTGCGTCACAACCAGGTGGAGTCCATCTTCCTGTCTGCTATTGACATGTACGGACACCAGTTCTGCATTGAGAACCTGCAGGTATCTACCAAATTTCTCTCCTTGTTTCCCTGCTTTCTCCTCTCTGATCTCCATGTTTTGTATTAAATCTCACCTGTAGTACCAAGGTCCTTGTGGCTTTAAATTGTATTGTTCTGGTTTGTAGCTTCCCTCTCATATTTGTTTTCATCCCTACGCTGATACCAGAATGATCTCATCACAGTCTACAACCTCCTCGAGGAGGGCAGCAGAGGGAGAGGTGCTGGTCTCTTTCTGGGGACCAGCAATAGGACACAAGGCAATGGGATGAATCTGCATCAGGGGAAGTTCAGATTGGACATGAGGGAAGGATTCTTTACTGAGAGTATGGTTGGTCCCTGGAACAGGCTCCCCAGGGAAGCAGTCGTGGTGCCAAGCCTGTGGGAGATCCGTGTCCGGATGATGCTCTTAGTCACATGGTTTAGTTTTAGGTAGCACGAGCAGGGAGTTGGATTCGATCCTTCTGGGTCCCTTCCAACTTGAGATATTCCATGCTTTAATATAAAAAGGTCATAATCCTTGATGTGCAACAGGAAAAGCACAGAAATGAGAACTCGTCAGGCTTCATTTGGGGTGTGTTTGCTTTTTTTGCCTGACCCCATTTGGGAGACGGGCAGTTCCCTCTTAAAACTCATGCCTAATGTGGTCTCTTCTAGAAACTCATTTTGTCCGAGACATCCATCTTTGATGTGCTTCCCAACTTCTTCTACCACAGTAACCAGGTGGTAAGGATGGCAGCTTTGGAGGTAAGCCTATTGCCATTGAGAAAACCAAGTATCATTATTTTCTGTTATGGGGTGTTTTTTTTTGAGCACAGGATTAGAAGAGCTGCCGGTTGCATGGAAGCTGGCATACTTGGAGCCTGGCATTTAGCAACATTAATATTAATAACTTGAATCTGGAACTTCATTCACTTATCTTCTTTGCTTGAAGAATCAGATGGTTGAAAGGGTTGAAAATGAAGCTGCTGTCAGAGAATGTGGTCAGCCTCTACCCTGTTCTTGGTTGCATCCTGCAAGACTGGCCTTCCTCAAAGGATAACTTTAAATTCTAGTGAATTAAGAGTTCTATTGAGATATATCTGGGGGGCTATCTGCTTCGGTTTTACTATTTTTAAGTCTCTGGTGTATTATTTGTCTCTTTGTCTCTGTCTGCTTCCTTACCCCAGGTAAGCTGATGGTGTTTCTCTCTAACTAGGTGTACGTTCGAAGGGCATATATTGCCTATGAGTTAAACAGCGTCCAGCATCGCCAGCTGAAGGACAACACTTGTGTGGTGGAGTTCCAGTTCATGCTGCCCACCTCCCACCCAAACAGGTCAGATCACGTCTGCAGGCGCCTTTGGAGCGGCAGGTTTAGGGGGGGGCACATCCGATCTTAGCAAAGGAAGCTTGCAACAAAATTGGTGGAGAAAGGGAGAGTCCCAGTGCCTCAAATAAGCACAAACTACTTAAGATAAACCCCTGCATTACCCAGTGCCTTCTCCTGAGCTATTTCAAACCTCAGGAGCTGTGGGGGTTAGGTTCTGCAGTTTGGATTCATTTGCATACAATAGTTTCCATGTATTTTCTGATGAAGTTCAGCTTCTGTAGGCAGTTTCCTCTAGAAGTTTAGTTCTAGCTGAATCCCAAGCCTTCCAAAAGATACAATTCCAGGCAGAATAATCAGTTACTTGGAATTTCAATAAAGAACAGTCAAACATCCTCTGTCCCTTCTGCAGCACTCCCCTGCCAGCCCTTTGTATCTGTTTGGGATTGGCTCTACTTTCAAACCTGGCTTTACTGGATAAGGTGAAACCTTTTCTAGCATGTGTTTTTCTTCTTTTGGAGCCCAAGATGCATGTGTGAATGGGTTGAAATGGAAGTGCTGGAGCTGACATACTGTGGCTTTCAGCCAGTGTTTATCAGATGTATTTCTTACGTCTGCAACCAAAAGCATCAACTGTTGGCTGCTCCATCTTACAGAAGCAGGGTCGCATCTCCGACTGTGTGCTAAGATCATTTAAAAACCCCACCAAACACAAAACCCCAAACCACTTGGTTCTCAGAACCCCTTCAGCACTGCCAGCTGAGTCAGTTCCCGTGTTCTTTCGCTTGCAGGAGGAGCTCGGGGGTATTTTAGCCGCTGTTCTCTTTCTGGCGCAGTGAGTCTCGGTGGCCGCCGGGTGCCACTGTTGGGCTGTGCTGGTTTGCCTGGAGGGCACCGGCTCTATTTTTCTCCTTTGTTTCCAAACATCTTTTTCCTCCTTTTATTTTTGGTGGGGCTGAGCAATGGGGTCCAGTCTCGCTTCATTGAGAACCCATCAGTACATTTTATGAGATGGTTTTCAGAATCTGGTTTGCTAGAAATGAATGACTGTCCTCAACAAGCAGCACAAACCACTCCCGATACAAATGGGACATGCATTTGGTCTCATCTGGTTCCTACATTTCTAGAATATTTGTAAATAATTGCATACTATTTTTAGTATCCCTTTATAATGCTCCCCACCCCCAGCCCTCCTCTTCTTTCTCCATTTCTTCCCTCTGCTGGTCTCAGTTACCTCTGTTGCTTGGGGTTTATCTGGCCTGCCCGTGCTGCCCATGGCTCTATTACTGCCACAAGCTTAATTGGACAAGGTCAGCTGGAAGAGAACTGTTTCCTGCTTGGGGAACTGCTGCTTTGTCCTGAAATCTCCTTTCCCCTTTGTGCTGTATTCGCTGGGGCAATGTTCTGCCGCTCAGTTCTGCTGCTCAGCCATCAGCACTGCTGATGGCTGACTGAAAGCGCATTGCGGTCCTTGTGCAGAGGCCAGCAGGCTTGGGGACAAAGCCACTGCTTGCACAGGCAAGCCCTTAGAGTTCAGTCCCTTGGAGTTGCACCTCAGTCTGTTAGCAATGAATTTGGCTCCTGTTGCTTGATGCAGCTTCTTGCAGTGTGCACCAGCTTGTGCAGCTATTGTGTGCCCGGGGGCTGAAGCACAGCCCGGAGCAGGATACCTGGGGCTTAAGTTAGCTATGTGTGTGGAGGTTTAAGCTGGGTATAAAGGCAGACCTTGTGCTAAGCCCAAGATACAGAAATCTCAAAACTGATATTGTCTTGATGAAGTCTTCTTTGTTGTTTTTGACCATGGTCTACGTCCATCGTTTGTTTTTCTGTATCTTGTGTAGCACCAGCTTTTAGACTGAAAAGCTAAAAATGCATTCCAAGGAAAACCCCAAAAGGCAAAGTATCCCAGCTGACCAAGCAAAAGGTCCCTTGAGGCTTTGAGGTTGCGTTCTGGTCAGCCAGAGAACATTAATTTGGAGCTGGTGTTACTAAGCTCCATCGCATTAGTATGATGCCACGTGGTTCTCAGCACTTTATCAGGTATTTTTAAGCCCTGGTCCCTTTTGTGTCTGATTTCCGTGAACATTCAAGGGCCCAAATGTTACTGGAGCAAATATTCATGTACAGAAAACTGCAAACTGGTAATGGTTACTATATTTAAATTCTTTGGTATTTAACCCAGCCATGTCTTTACTTAATTGTAGCAGCAACAGTCACAGTCACTACTTCTGATCTGACTAATCACAGCCAGCCACTCAGGCTTTGTATTTCTGGCCACTGAACAATTGCCATCAACTACCCACAGGAAAGCTTTAGAGAGGAAAGAAAAACTATTAAATCTGCTAACAAAGTCATAGAAATTCAACCTGCTCCTGGTGGGTTTTGTGGGCAGAAACTGTTTTGGGTATTATTTGTTTAAATTAATAGAAAACATCCTGTTGTAAGAATCCCCACTGATCCCAATTGCAAGGGTAAGACATAGGGAGAAAAACTGCTTATAATTGAAACCATAGAGGGCTTTCCAGCTCAAACCCAGCATCCTTATTGCCCAGTACAAGGCAGATGAGGAGCGCAGTGTAACCATCTGGTGCCTTTTTCAGTAAATGGAGTTTGCCAGCCCTCTCCAAGTAGAGGGCGTTGCAGTAATCCCATCTGGAGGAGGCGAGATGAGAGTGTCCACGGGATGCTGATGGCTGCATGCTGCAGCAGGGTACTGCAGACAAATGCTCATGTGCAGAGCCCCTTGCATTTGGTTAACCTGCCTCTTTCAGTCATCTAGAGTCCTGGTGAGAAAAGATGGGAGAAAGAAATGAGCCCTGTTCTGAGCTGTTCTTTGCTTCCCTCTTGTTCAGACTGCCCTGCTGAGATGGGAAGCTAGTGGAATATTGACTGGTGTTTAGAGAGTTCAGCTTCCTTTGTGAGAATGGCAGGCCAGGTGACAGACACTGAAAGGCCTTTCTTAGGTGTTCAGTGCATGAAACAGTGCTTGCCTAATCTTAGCTTAAAATCTGTTCAAAGAAACATTGTGTGTCTAGGAGAGGGAATTATAGTGCTTTTTCAACAGGAGAAGGGCTTTTTCTAATAATCCCCTTTGCTTCTCCTGCTTTTGGAATAGCCCTTCTTCTGTCTGAAGCTGTAAGGTTTAAATTAAACTGGGACATTGTCTGCTGTAGCCAGCTTTTGGAGCCTGCTGCAGAATGGTGCTGCTGCCCTGCTCTTCCTGAAGCATCCCCTGTCTCCAGCTCATCGTGTCCCCCAGCCAGGATGTTCAGCTGTTCTCTTGCTCTCTCCTTCCCCAGTAGCAGATGTACTGGAGGATCAGAAGGGAAGACCTCAGAGGTAACCGTGTTCCCTCTGTCAGATGCCAAGACAATTGCTGGCAAGGGGACCTAGAGGTGCTGGGTGTACCTCTACTTTGGGGTGTGGCAATGATGCCTTCAGAATACACTGAGCCCCAGAGGAAACTGAAGTGTAACCCAGCCTGGTTTGCTCCCTCTGATGCCTTGGCCATGCCTTTCCAATCCATGCGTGTGCTGAGCCCACGCCTTCCTTTTGCCCCACATGCCACCCCTCTCTGCCACACTTGGCCTTGACATGTCCTGAGGGAATCCCTGAGTCAGGAGGTGCCATTGGAAGGTGGAAGTAAAGGAAGGTTTCCACAGTGCAGATTAAGACTTCAGGTGTTGATAACTGGCTTAGCTTTACCTTTGAAACTCGGTAACAAGCTGTCTGATGCCAGCTCACCCTCGTGTTTAGAGTTGGGAATACACACGACTTGGAAAACATGGACATACAGGCAAATGCCTTACTGCAACTTGCCTAGGCTGAATCCATTCTTGGGACTGCATCCTGCTCTCCGTGATGCTTCCAAGGGTGGAACTCAAGTCTAGTCTTCAGTTTCTTTGCATTTCCAAAGTTAACAGTATCAGTGTCTCAACTATCTTGTGCTTGGCTTTGCCCAGTATCTCCTCTTCCTGTGCTTGTGGATGTTTGTTGACGCCCTACTTGGACTTTGATGTTGCTGATTTCGAGGCTTAAGAGTGGTGCATGATCTCTCCTTTGCTGTCTCTTGATGTTTTATCATCTATGGAGTATTTTGGTTGTTCTTTTTTTGTCAGCCTCTTCCTTAGCTTATAGGTAGAAACTCATTCTGAAGGCTGAAAGCCAAGTGAATTATTGCTGTTTCCAAACAGAGCTTTTACAGAAGAATAAGAAAACAACACTTAGAGCAGGTTTATAGGTTCCCTCCCACTCTCATTTTACTATGATATACTCCTAAGATTTGAATTTCTGACAATATAGGAGTGTTTTCTGGGGACTAAAGGAGTTGTTAAAACAGCCTCTTGTATCAGTCCTTGGAATGCTGGTACTGAAGCAGCCGTGGCTGCTCCGGGCTCTGACTGCACTGCAGACCCAGCTGTACCACTCCGGTGTATCATTAGGTAGCCTGAGCTCCCCTCCTTATTGGGAAAGAGCGGCTGCTCTCAGGAGGGAGGGGGAAAGGCTTCCAGGACACCTGTAAATCCCTGCAGCTCCATGCTGAGGGTTGGATGTTAATTAGCCAGCAGGCAGCAGTAATGTGTTGCTGTTCCCTTGGCTTTGCCTGTTTCCAAAAGGGCAGAATCTTCCAGCAGAGCAAAGAAGGGGCTGTTGAAGGGGCAGCAAACTGAATGGAATGGCGATAATTTTATGCAAATTGGACTTGAGCAGCAGCTTCAGCTTGGCTGAATCACAGAGGGAGCAGAAGAATGAGGGAAGAAAAGAGGGAGAGGAAAAAAAACCACCCCATCAAAATGTATGGTTTGAGGCATGTTTCACAGCCTTCTGTTTAGATCCTTCTGCAGAAATGAAGAAACAGAAGAGGAATGCCACTGGTCAGAGTCAGTGGAATTGCTCTTTCTCCTGTGGTACTGCTGTTAATAACTACAAGTGGGTTATGCAGCCGACCTCTGCTGATTCCGCTTTGCTGCCTCATTTCAAAAGCTCTGCCCGGTGCTGGCACTGGCTCTCACAGCTTGCTCTCACCAGCGGTGCTTTGCATGCCTTGCCATCATTCCATAGGGGAGTGCTCCTGCTGGAAAAGAAATAAATAAAGGGAAGAAAGGGAGAGGCAAGGGGAAACAAATCCCCATTCATCCCGGGGGTGCAGGGGGAGCCAAGGGCGTTTTGGCTTGCTTGAGCAGAAGGAGGCATTGTAACAGTAGAGTGTGTGTTGGTGAGGAGCAGATTCCCGGTGAGATCAGCTTCCCTGGTCAAGAAGAGAGTTCAAATGAGACAAGAGAGAAGGGCTGGGGCTGGTGTGGTGGGAAGGTTTCTGCTCCTGTCACCAGCTACATGGAGTTGGCTGTGGAGGATGGTGCCTTTACACAGCTCCCAGCCCCTTGGTGCTGCCCAGGGCTGAGCAGCGTGGCTGGTAGCTGGTGCTTTATGTCGAGGTGCAAGGGTGTAGTAGCCCAGTGAACTGCAGTGCCCTTTCACAAGGCCTGCTTGCACTGCAGATACCAAACCTCTGCTCTTAGCATGTGGTGGTGACAAGTGACAGTGCAGCTCCTGTTATGAGAAGCCCTCTGCAGCTACCTTGACCTGTAGATAGAGAGCCAGCCCCACAGTGTGCAGCTTGGAGACTACTCCATTCCATTCTGACATCCCCAGGCACTGGGTCTTCTGTTTTCCTCATTGCAATTACTGCCATAGTCTCTTCAGCTCCGTACTGAGCGGCTGGAGTTCCTGGAGCAGGGCAACAGGGAGCCCTTTCTGAGATGGAAAGGAACATTTGTTATGCTGGGGCTCTTTTCCTGTCTGTTTCTGAAAGCATCTCAGGGAGCACTGCACAAGTGTACCCAGTGTAGGAACTGCCAGGCCTCTCCAGACCGTTTTTCCCACCTGAAATAGATCACATGCAGCTTTCCCACTATTTGCCAAGCTAAACAATAGCCCAAAAGGAAGTCTCACACCCCCACCCTGAGGCCCCATGGCCCCTTTGGGTCCTACCCACAGGCTCAGTGTCTCTCCCCACTGCCTCCAAACAACATTAAATACTATTTACCATTGAACAGATAGGTCTTTAGGTCATTTTGTGCTTTCTCCTGTATGGCTTAAGGGGATCACAGGAACTTTTCATGCCTCTACCAGTAATGCACCAAACACACAACCTTGCAGTGACAAAACCAGCTTGAGAACAGGGGTATTTAGCAGCCTTAACCTGGGAATACCCTGTCAGTGAGTACTGAAACTTCATGGCCACTAACTTGGGGTCTTGCCTATGGACAAGGATGTTAAGAAAGTCTGTGGTTTGATCTCCTACAGGTTTCTATAGGGAAGGGGAGGGTGAATGTCCAGTTACATGCTCCCTGAAGCTTCGCTTTCCATCTTGCCGTGTTTGCTGATCTCTTTGTGCAAGCATCCTTATGCATGGTTTTGTTTCAGCTTAGTCTTTACCATTTTGAATGTCAGATCACAGCTGTTTCTACATCTTGCATGGAGCAATATGCAGCCCTGTGCTTTCATGAACGTAGCATGAGCAGTTCTTCACACACGCTGGTGTGAAGATGTGCCCCTCAGCTCTCTTCTGCCTCACGTGCATCGCTAAGCTCTGGTCTGCATGCAAATATGAGAAGAGGTGGACTGGCATGAAATACTCTTATAAATAGCCTTAAGTTCTGCGTGTTCTTCTGGGTATTCAAAGCCTTGAAATGCTGAAAATGCCACGTGTTAAATGGTGTTTGTGCATGTATTTGCTTTGTGACTGCCTTGTTGTGGGAGCCAGTGCATGGCTGCTTAGTGGAGAGGTTTGGCAACGAGGATTTGCCTTGTTTTCCTGAACCTGCTGCAGTCTTCCTGTGTGATACAGTCACTTTTAGCATCTGTGCTGTTTGCCCTTCCATCAGGGAGTGTAAACTCCCTGCTCTGGTCTTGCTTGTGTGCACGCAAAGAGCTTGAGGTGGGTCTGATGCTGTAGAAATGCTGGTACCTTGCAAACGCAGCGTGGTTTCCTGGGGTATGTTACCTGCATGTATGCTCCTTCCCACGGCAGCCCTGCAGGCGAGGTCAGGTGGTGGGTGCCTTCTCATGGTCCAGGAAGTTGAATCCTGCCCCGTTCCTGATGGTTGACAAATTTGGGGTTAGTAAAAGTGTAAACTTGTTGCTGGTCTGCGGATCAGCTTGATGCTAGTTCTTGATGATGGCTGTCACTAACCAATCGGTAACTAACTGTGGTTGTTTGATTACAGAGGGAACATCCCCACGCTAAACAGGTATGGTACTTGTCATCTTTTAACATTTGAAAAGACAGACTAGAAAGAAGTAGCCTAATACTTAATGTTTTCACTTGTTTCGTTTTAGTGCCCTTACCTTTACTTGGGAAGCTTTCAAACATGACTCTTCTTTTTCCTTCCCTTTTGCTCTCCCTTTGTCTAAAACATGTTTTCAGCTTTTCTCTCCCCTTTAAAAAAACCTTTGCATGCAGCAGCCGTTGTCACTAAATTTGCCAGGGCACTCAGCTCATCTGCAGTATGGTACACAGCAAACTGCCAGCAGGATGCTGCTTGTAGGGTCTGGCTTTCGGGACTGGATTCCAGCTGTTGCCCCTCTGGTAGGGTGTCACAGGGAACCAGGCAGTCACTCCTACCTGATACCTATCGCTACCCTAGTTTCTTGTAACTAGCTTCAAGGCTCTTCCACCTCCTTCCCACCATAGATGAATCTACATCTCAAACAGCTGACAGCATGTTTTGTTGTGTTTTGGACACTAATTTTTCCTCCTGTGTCTCAGTTGAAAAGTATTTCTTGTTTTAAATAATACATGAAAAATGTCTGCTGTCTCTTTGTTTAGTTACTGTTCTGTGGTAGTTTTTTGTAGTGGTTGTAAGAAATGTACACCAAGGCATGTCCTGAAAAATATTTCTCTTTCCAAACGTGAATACCTATTATTTATTGCTGCTTACAAGCCTATTTAGGGAAAAATAGTAAAAATAGGTTTGGAAGTCTCCTGGCTCTTAATCAGAAATAAATTACAGGAACATAGAGTGACTTTAAGCATGGAGAGCTATTAATCAAACTGCTGATGTTTTAGACTCTTTAACAATGTGCTTAGGACCAGATCACAGTGGTTTTCTGTGTGTGGAGAGGAAGAAGTCTTAGTAAAGCTGGTAAGTAGCAGCATCAGCAGCCTCCAGTCCCCATCCCCTTCTGCCTCCTGTTGTGGCACCAGTTGGGGAGGACAGAAGCTGAGCTCCATTAGTGCCTTCCTAAGCTCTGGGGAGAGCAAAGCAAGCACGAGTGCACTGTTCTGTGTTGCAGAGCCCTGCCGTGTGCCAGTTCTGTGTTCCTCTCTCTTCAGAGCAGCCTTGAGGGTCTCAAGCATGTTGCAGGGAGCTTTGAAAGTGGGTTCCTCAGTGGATGAAGATGACTCTGTAGTCATGTTCAGAAATGAGAAACAGTTACTAAAGTGAACCAAACCCCAGTTTTTACAAGAGCTGAGTGATGTTCAGTATACTCAGGATCTTGCCCTCTGCCAGGAAGGAATGATGATCGTTAGGAAATGCTGCTTCTGCTTTAAATAGAAGTCTCTTACTCAGTGCCTTCCTCTGAGCTTGTGTAAATGTGTTGCAGTCCTCCTCACTTATGTAAGGGATTGGTCCTGTATGAATGATGTGTGTGCTGTGGTGGACATCAGGCATGAGTATGACAGTAGTGAGTGTCTGGAGCTCTGTGTCCTGTGGCCAACTGCTTGTATTGAGCAGCTGCCACCTTTTAGCAATCAAACCTGACCTAAATAAATAAGGGGAGTTGCAATGTTTTTAAAGTATGGATTAAATGAACTGGAGGAGTGCATCTGGTGAGTAGTTAAAGTGGAAGGCACTGCAATAGGACTTTATTTAATGGCAATTCCAGTGTCAGACTATAAACCCCTCCATTTCTGGCATCAGGCTTTAGGGAGGACACTGTACCACACTGCATTTGAGGAGCAGAAATTATGCTGTGGCCAGAAAAATTGTGGAAGCAATAAGATGGCATGGGTACACTTGAACTTAATTGGTAAAAATTTACTAAACCTTTAAAATGCCAAAGCTTAGAATTATTGTTGTTTATCTCAGCGTTCCACCTGTAAAGCAAAATGTGCATACAGGAGGAAAACCACCTTCAGCTTTGCATAGCCAGAATTGACCTGCCATCGCAAGAAACTCCTTAGGGAATTCTGGTTGTAAAAGGTTATAACATCCTTTCCCAACTCCTTTAACTGTTCCTGTACACTGGGACAATGTCCAGGTAAGGGCATTGATGGCACCAACGCGTGCCAGCCCTGCAGGGGCTTTGTTGAAGGCAGCACTGCAGGTCTGACTTGCTGAAGAAGCTAACAAATGATGCAGCAGTTGTACTGGATAAACAGCCACGCTTCAAGTAGCCAGAGCATACGTGCACAGATCTTTATCCAGGGATGCCCTTCTCTCCCTTGTCTGTACTAACTGTTATCTTGTTGGATTGCCATTTAGAATGTCCTTCTCTTCCAACCTCAATCACTACGGGATGGTCCATGTAGCCAGCGTGAGTGATGTACTGCTGGATAACTCCTTCACCCCACCATGCCAGCGCATGGGTGGCATGGTCTCCTTCCGCACCTTCGAGGATTTTGTCAGGTACGTGGGGCAGGGTGAGGGTTGGGTGTGTTCCCACCTTCCTGGATGGGCCCAAATGGAACTGGAGAAAACCTTTGTCTTGTCTAGAGGCAGGTTTAAATGGGGCTGGAGCTTGTTAGCTAAGTTCTGGGATTTCAGGTGGAAGTTTGTTTGGATCCTTGAGATGGCAACGGAAAGCTTCAGACTGTTATAAGAGCAGTTTGCAACCAGAAGAATCAGCATCTTGAATCTCTGCTGATTGAAGATCATTTATAGATGTGCTGATTTCCTCTAACGCTCTTGTTCCCATGTATGTCGGTGGGAGGATGTGGGCCTTATGATTTCAATCTTGTAGGGGTGGCCAAAACCCACCCTGCAGAACCTTTAGCAGTTGTGAGGGCCCGCAACCACGAGATCTCTGACTAACGTTAGAAGATCCAGGCTCTGCTTTGTTTAGAGGGGTGGAGGAGGTATTGCCTCCTCATCTTCTGAGTTTGTCCTGCACAGGGAA